AGCGGGGACTGCCCAGGTTGCGGGGATCTTGGCCGCCCTTGCTGCTTCCTGGTGCCTAGGAAGCTGCCGGCCCTCCGCCCCGCCGCCCTGGGGATGGAGGATGCCACCCGAGCCAGGACCCGCTCCCTGCCCCAGAGCCGCGGTTTTACCGGACGTTGTCGATGTGATACACACGCGGGGGTGGGCATCCAGCCCCACGGAAAGGACGGGCTCTGCCAGCGCAGCGGCACAAACCCGTGGGCAGTTTCCAGTCCTCACCTGGGTACCAACCCACGCCGCCTCTGACACTGCTTCGTTAACTCGAGGGTGCACGTTTAGCGTTGCTGTTTTTAACTCATGGCTCTTGGCAGGTTGGGCAGCCCCTGAGTTTGCTGCTGAGCTACCCGTCAAATGCCTGGAGAGGCCGAGGGAATTGCCTCTGCCAGGCAGCAGAAAATGCTGTTTGCTTAAAGAGGAGCGTTTTAAACCCAGGGGCTGCCCTATCCACTGCATGGCAGCCACTGCTGTTTCTGTGACTGGCCTCGCCCAGGCTGTCTGGTTTTATTTTTTTAAAGATCTGTTAGTCAGTGTTACTTTTTATAATACTGAGATAGGTTATTATGTGTCAGTATTGTTATGGGAAAAAATAAATTTATAAAGGCATTGTCATGATCAAAATGTGCCAGGTCCGTGTGTGAAAAACGTTTCTTGAACTTTCCAAGCAACCGTGGAGTCACCAGAGTCAGTTATGGTTGCATTTCCAAAAACGTTCACAGCTCTTGTTAACCAAAACTAATGATGAATGTGCATGACGCCTTGGCATGTGCAGCTCATGGTGTATCTGGTAAGAACACAAGCATCAAGCTTTCTGTGCACTTGAGATTTCCTTTTTAATTTCGCCACTAGTTTTATGACTTTGGGAAAGTCACTGTAAATACATTGATTGCTCATTTTCTGCATCTATAAAGTATAATCATGAATTTTGGCTGCTGGGAATTGAAGGTGGTTGGGGATTTACTCTACAGGAAATAATTCTGTACCGAATGGGATTGTAGCTCTGAGATGATGCCAATATTTACTTCTTCTTTCTACAAGCTAAAAAAACTCTAGAAAGAAAACCCCAACCTTTCATTTTAATATAGTGTCCATTTTCACGTTATGTTTGAGGGAAATTTTAAATCTGTACAGTAATTTCCTGCTGGTACCTAGTCAAACCCCACTGTGACATTTAGTCACACATATCAGCTACAGACCCAATTAAACAGTGCTAGATTACTGCACAGGTTTGGAGTTGCTTGTGGACTTTGATGCCTGTTGTATTCTCTCACAGCAAAGTGAGCGTGTGTCTGCTTGTTTGAGCGCCTTTTTTTTTTGTCCTTATCTCTGCCAGTAGTTTACTTCAGATGGCTGAGAAAACAACCAGAGGCCTGCAGGACGTCCCCAGCTCTTCTCCTGATGAAAATGAATTTCCTTTTGGATATCCCACCAACATTTGTGAAGATGCACCTGATCAGAAGTACCTGTGCAGCAACTGCAATAACATTCTGAAGAAAGCCCTGCAGACGCTTTGTGGGCATCGGTACTGCTCAGCCTGCCTCTCCTGGATTGTACGGTAGGTCCTTGCTGCAGAGGGTCACACCGCCCTGGCGGATTCTGTGGCTGCAAGTGCTTCTGAGAGCTGCATTGTGCCACTGTGCTCAGCAGATGAGTCTGTGGCTACCTAGACCTCTGGCCCGCAGTCATTTTGCTATCTGAAACTATTTGCTTGTGGTGGACTGCAGGCTACTCCCCACCTTCTGCTTGTTTCCAGTGTGAAAGTCTGGGTTTTATTATGTGTAAGTGTGGGATAATGATACTGATTTAACCGTGGAGAACTAATGCAAGGCTGACATACTGCTTGTATGGGACTTCACAGTCCTTGGATAAGTGATGTAATGGTTTTTTAATAAAGATTATCTTAGAGTTTTAATAACTCAGCTGGGTCACTGCACGTTAAGGTGCTGCTGCCATTAATGACAGACAATGTTGCCAATATCCTGAAGAACATGAAAACCAGGAGCTGGATGGGGATTTGCTTTGGTGAATTAGCTGCTTCTGTCCTGCCTTTTCTTTCAACAATTACACCTTGATCCAGAGCCTTTAGAAAAGGGTATGTCTACCCTGCAGATGACAGGTGACATTGCAGTACAATTCCATAAATAAGCTGACTTTAGCTTTGTTTTGGAAAACAGCCGCTGTCGAGAGTCAGTGACTGAGTTTTACTGCTGGCTAAGTCAGTCGGAAGACTTGTGCTTCCTCGTGGATGTGATTACTGAGCTAGTTTGTGTGTGCCAGTTCATGCAGTCCCAGCTCTGATCATGGTGTGGAGCACCTGGAAAGTTAGATCAATGCCTTGGTTGCATGGGATTTGAAGGTCAACGTGTAATGATGTAAAAATGTGTTGAAATTAATGTCTTTGACCAGCTTACATAAATCCATTTCTGTAAGTCTAGAACAAAGCCCCTTAATGAAGCAATGTAAATTGTAAATGCAGGAAACTGTCAGCAGAACATAACTGGAATTGTTATATCTTCCCACTAGAGTCTTATGGTACTAACAGGAAACTGGCTCAAACAGGCTAATTAGTGCAGTATGAAATTAGTTGTGCTCTGCTCGGATGGATGCTTTTCTGATGGGCTTCTTGGCCCGTGTTAGTTCATTGTTTGGATGATAAAGAGCACTAACAATGAAGTACATCTCTAGTAAAGTTTTATTTTTTGCTTTTCATATATAAAGCTCTACGCTAAATATTTTGAGAGTGGATCGAAACCTTTTTTAGCTGCAGTAGGATGTTAATGGTCTAGAACGGAATTCTGCACTAGTTCTACTATATTTTTGTAATTTGAAGTCGATATATCCATGTTGGGAAAATGGGTGTTTTCTGTGTCTTAAAAGACTTCAGTTTCCATGTTACCTCTCCTACCTGGTGTTTTTGCATAATTCATGAGATAAATAGGTTCCCATCTTTACTCTTTCTTTATGATCCAGGCTGCTCTTATTTTGCTGAAATACAGATGAGATTTATGGGCCTAGGTCCAGTCTTGAAGAATAGAACAGCAGGGGTTTTTTGACGTCAGTGTGTTCAGGAATTGGCCCTTGAATGAACAGGGACTATGGATTCCATGGAAAACAATTTCCATGCTTTTGTTTGTGTCAGTGTCTGTACAAAGACCTCCTGAACTACAGTTTCTAACTACAGAAACTAACCGATTGTTGTTTCATTCTTCATTCTTTTTGCCAGAAACAATAAAAATGCAATTTGCCAGAAATGTGAAGAGGAAGATCCCAGCACTTTAAGTGAGGGAAGCCTACTGGCAGAAGAAAGGGTAAGGTGTAGTTCACAGTTTGTTCATTTGTTGTTAACCAATCTCTGGGATACTCTGTAGGCATCATTGGACTAGGAGGGAATAATACAAAATGTGATAGTTACACATTTTACCTTATGTTTTAGTCATTTGGATTTGTAAAGTATAATGGCAGCCTTAGGACTTTCCAAGTCCATCGGGTTCTGTGACATAAAATCCCACACTCTTCCATATAATGAACTTTTTATTGTCTCAAAGTAACCAATGCTTTCTTACCTGTAATAATATCTCTTAACTGTTACTTACTATCCTTAGTATCACAGTGGATTTTCACAGAATCACAGATCACAGAACGTCAGGGATTGGAAGGGACCTCAAAAGCTCATCCAGTCCAATCCCCCTGCCGGAGCAGGAACACCCAGATGAGGTTGCACAGGAAGGCGTCCAGGTGGGTTTTGAATGTCTGCAGAGAAGGAGACTCCACAACCTCTCTGGGCAGCCTGGGCCAGGGCTCTGTCACCCTCACTGAGAAGAAGTTTCTTCTCAAATTTAAGTGGAACCTCCTGTGTTCCAGCTTGTGCCCATTACCCCTTGTCCTATCATTGTTTGTCACCGAGAAGAGCCTGGCTCCATCCTCGTGACACTCACCCTTTAAATATTTATAAACATGAATGAGGTCTCCCCTCAGTCTCCTCTTCTGCAAACTAAAGAGACCCAGCTCCCTCAGCCGCTCCTCATAAGGGAGATGCTCCACTCCCTTAATCATCTTTGTAGCCCTACGCTGGACTCTCTCCAGCAGTTCCCTGTCCTTCTTGAACTGAGGGGCCCAGAACTGGACACAATATTCCAGATGTGGTCTCACCAGGGCAGAGTAGAGGGGGAGGAGAACCTCTCTCGACCTGCAACCACCCCCCTCCTGATACACCCCAGGATTTTCCAATCTCATGATTCTCTGTGGCCTTCAAACGTGTTACCAAACTTACAGGTGAAGCGTACCTAAGAAAAAAGAGTGTCAGCTAGCTGGCTGAATTGCCTAGAAAGTATTTTGTCACCTAGATTATCTAGAGGAAATAGTGAAAAACTTAGAGCTGAACATAATAATTGATAAAAACGATGCAGTGGCAAATGTTTCGTCTGTAATTCAATGGTGCAGATCTCTTTTGCTGTTGTGATTTTCTAAGCACTATTCTGTATCTTGAATACAAACTGGGCCACAGGGCTCAGTCCTGGTTTGTCTTTGTCCCTCATTTCTGATTATGTGCAGGAGTACCAAGAGATACAGATTCTGTATGAATTTCTCAGGGAAAACAGAAACCCAGCAGTGAGGTAAAAGGTAAACTTTAGGAAGTGACTGCAACAAAATAATGAATCTGCAGTTAATGCAGAACTTCACAATATCTCAGAAAAAAAATGCTCAATTCTGCAATAAATCTCGCAGTAACAGAATTTCATGCATCATCTCACCACAAATAGGCACAGCTAAACCCTCATCAACTTTTTATTCTCTGTTGCCTGTCGTTTCTCTTATAACTGCGATTTCTCAGCTGTGGGACTCTCAGTAAATCTGCGGGGACTTTCTGCACAATCTGTAGGTGGGTTGCTGTAAACAGGTTCCCGTTCTTGCAAACTGCTCTGCCCAGGCAGATTCTTGTGCCTGTTGAGAGCCCAGATGAAGTCAGTCACCACGAAGGGATGAGGATCTACCTGTTGAGATCAGCTTCCAACAAATGGTTGGAGTTTGTAAACAGCACGAATAATAAAGATCATTTAGCAGGTTTGTTGTTTTGTAAAAGAATACAGTGTGTATATTTTGGCATAATTTGTAAATACTTTCTTCCCTCTATTTGTAAACCTCCCCCCCTACCAGTTCTTGCTCTGCCCTGTGTTGTTACGTAGGAAATCTGCAGTCCTCCGTATTGTGTACTTACCAGCAGAGCATCTACAAACGTGTCACTAACTTTAGCAGGGCTTGTTCCTGTGTTAGTGTACCTATTTGGATTGTGCAAAATGTAAAAGTGTGTAGCACTCCATAATTTACATGATGATTGTATGATTCTTTAACATTCTTAACGGTTAACGTCATAAAAAAATCTACGTAGTGCACCAAAAGCCCCGGTCACCTATGTTTTAGATTTCTTTAGTACACAGTGCCATACTAAATGGAAACAGCCATGGTCTGAGAAATGTACTCGCAGTGCAAAACAGTCTCAAGTCCTCACTGCAGCACGTTAAGGAGGTGTTAATGACCACAATAATGAAATGCACTCATTAGGAGTGGCACATGGCAGCACCCTATAGTTAGGGTCCTGTCAGCACATTCAGTCCCTGCGACATTTTTCAGGCATCTGTGAAAAGAAACTTCAGACAATAGCTGTAGTTGGCTAGGCGTATTTTCGGTAAATTTATATCACGTCAAATAGTTTATTTTTGAACCATAAAAAAGAAATGGTTTAATAGTTATTTGAGCTTCTGCTATCCCAAGATTATAAATCTGTAAAGGGTGAGTGTCACGAGGATGGAGCCAGGCTCTTCTCGGTGACAGACAATGATAGGACAAGGGGTAATGGGCACAAGCTGGAACACAGGAGGTTCCACTTAAATTTGAGAAGAAACTTCTTCTCAGTGAGGGTGACAGAGCACTGGAACAGGCTGCCCAGAGAGGTTGTGGAGTCTCCTTCTCTGCAGACATTCAAAACCCGCCTGGACGCCTTCCTGTGTAACCTCATCTGGGTGTTCCTGCTCCGGCAGGGGGATTGGACTGGATGAGCTTTGGAGGTCCCTTCCAATCCCTAACGGTCTGGGATTCTGTGTGATTGACTTGCCACATTAGTGAGTCTTATGGCAGTAGATTTTTTAAAAATTAGAGATTTGTCAAGATGTGAAATTTTGACACAGTCAGCTTACTCCTGTGTCAGAAGTGCATGCTGGAGTACTTTCTGACCTGTGCTTTTTTCCTTACTGTGTTTGCTTTCCAGGCCTTTGGTGATGCTGCCATTAATAAAGAGATTTCTGAACTCAAAGTGCACTGTGTGACCCTTGGGTGCAGTTGGTCCGGTATCATGAAAAATTTTGAAGTAAGTTTGTTTGAAAGGCAGTTTGTTTAAATTAACACGCACTCTTCCATCTACATCTTGTGTAGGAATAGAGGCTCTTTCTGACAGGGATCTGATAAGCATCTGAAGTGCTGCTGCCTTTTGCTATTTTTGCATGAATTTTCTATTTGAGTGTACTCCTCTTTAAGGACAAATCTACCCAGTTTGCTTAGCTTCATAGTTTTGAGTATTGGAACTCCTCTCAGCATGAATACGTGGCAAACTAGATTTGGGAGTTGGGCGTGTGATTGAAATTGGCATTTCTGAGCCTGTCCTATATGGGACAGCCATCTCCCTTTAAACACAGAATCAGTTGCAACACACTTACTTTACAGTTGCTTCAGTAAAAGAAATAGTAAATAGTCTTTATTGAGATACTGTATTTTTAAGAATCTTAAAGCAGACCTGTTTGATGTAGTTATGAAAGATATAATGTTGATATTTTTCCTCGTTGAGATGAGAGCATGCAAATAATGAAAAGGAAATGTTTTAAAAGTTATTTTGAATATAGGTAAAGGTTGTGTTGCCCAGCAGTTGTCAGATGTCCGCTCTTTTATGCTATACAGAGATGTCAGCAGACCAACCACATTCATCCTACCAGCCAGAGCAGGATGATCTCAAAAAAAACCCCACCCCAAACCCCCACCAAAAACCCCCAAACCAAACAAAAAAAATCCCAGCCCAAAATTTAGAGATCCTCTAAAACAAGGAAAAAAGATGGGACCAGGATCATGTTATCTTCAAACAAATGCACTAGAGAGAGTCAGTTCAAGGGAGTCCTCATGTTTTAATTTATCAGAAGTTGTTGGTTTGTTTTGGGGTTTTTCTTTTCTTTTTTAAGTTAAGAATTGAAAAAGCCCCAATAAAGTCGGTGAATTTTTCAGTAGTAATCTTGGTAACATTGTGGAGTGGGACTTTACCCAAGCTTAGAAGAAATGCAAAGCAAAGCTCTAGGCTGGCAAAATGGAGACTATTTATAGGTAAATGTTTATCTGCAGGTTGTGATTTAGAACTTTTTACTTCCAGGAGCATCAGAGCTTATGTGAATATGCTTTAATCCCTTGCCACACTGGTTGTGGACACGTGGTGATGAGAAAGAAGCTTGCAGATCATTTGGAAAACGGATGTGTTAATAATACGATGATGTGTCAGAAGTGCAAGCAGAGCTTATCCAGTAGTGAATACCAAGTAAGAACATTTCTCTGTTTCAAATGAGTGCTTCATATTAATGGCTTAAATAATTTATCATGACAATTTTCATCCCAGTTTCATGAATGCTATTGCACTTGGTGAATATTTAATTTTCCTGAGTTTGCTATTTTTTCCATGCATGTGTTGGAGGGAAAAATGAGCAGTATTTGATAGTCTGCTTGTGGTGTTACAACAGAGAGGGGAAACTCTGTGTGCTCATAGGGTAAGGGTAGTTTGTCCCCAGCATTTGCTCAAAATCCTCTTTAAAACAACTTTTTTTTCTACACAAGAATGCAGTTGATCATCAAACTTTAAAGTCTGTATTACTAAACCTATTCCATTATTTCTTAAAAGTAATGACTTCCTTGGTTGGTGCTCAAACTTACGATAGCACAGCAGCTGACTTGCAGATTTTAAGTACCTTTATACATTCATATTAACTTAAATAGAAGAGGCTCTTTGTTTTTACTGACTTTTGTAGATACGGCACAGTGCAAATTCTGGGAGTGGTCTGAAACTCCTCTGTGTTGCTGAAGGAGGAAATGGTGTGGTGGGGCAGCTGAAAAGTGATAGAATTCTTATATATGAAGAAATTGCTGATGATACAGCTTCAGTGGCACCTTTGTCAGTCTCATGATGGAAGTGTGTCATCTGTTTAGGGCATTTTATGATTAAAAACTTGAAATTTGAAAAAAAAATAAAATTTGAAAGCTCTGAAAACATCTTCATCCCAGCCTCAGCTAATTTCTGACCCTGTGGGCTCTATTATCACAGAAAATGTTAGGCCACGCTCCTTTGGATGCAGCATAATGAATATTGATCCCTCTGGGTGATTTAAAGAGAATAATTGCCAGCGTTGGACTTAAGTCCTGGAATGGAGGTGAAGTGATCTAAGACCTACATGGCAAGAGGGGTTGTGACCATCTCAAAAATGTAGCCTGAAGCAGCGGAGAGCTTTGCGTGTCGTAACTGCCACGAAAGTGTGCCCTTCCAGACAGTGAGCTGTGAGGTTTACTCAACATAGGATTTTACAGTCCCCACAGATTAGAATAAGGTGCTCTTGCTAAATTGTGCTTCTTGGCAAGCTTTTGCGTGTGCTTTTCATATCTGAGTAACTCTTACAGAGAGAGAAGGGCATCTGGACACAGGCATATTTTACCAGAGCTAAATCCACTGCATGTTTCGGAGAGACCCTATACACCAGAAGGTGGCAACACTTAATCCCTTTCAGCTGTCTCTAAGTTCAGTGGGCAAGCGGGAGGAGGAAACCTGAGCTGCCTGAGGGTTCCCTGAGCACCTTTCTCTTTTCCGAGGTCTGTGATACCACAGATCCACCTCAGCAGGCTTCATTTTCCTGCAGTGAAGAGCTGTTTCCCTCGCACTCATTCCGGTTAGCTATTACCTAATTAGTTTTTTGGTTAGGAAACCTTGGCAACCAAGCAGGGGATTGGCCTTGAGATATTTATTTTTCTCTGTCTGCCTTAGTATTTGTAAAATCGGGATTTTGCAGGTTACATGATCTGCTTTATTAAATTGGCAGCTATGTGGCATATGAATTTTGAGTATTTGCGTGTATTCCATGTATCCACGATGCTCTGGGAGGAAATAGTAAGTTTGGAGCACTGCTCTTGCTCTCAGTCTTAGCCAACCAGTCCTGTGATTTTTGCATTTCTGTATTTTAAAGCAACTTCTCACCAGCCCCTTTTCCTCTCAAGAAATCAGGAACCTGAAGGAACCAAATAGCAGAAAGGAAGAAAATAAAGGCATACTTTGTGCAATATCTAAGATACAGAGTGTTAAAAATGAGTTAGAGAGTGAGAAAAACCTATGGCTGTATTTCTGAGGATTGAAGAAAAGCTTCAGGACTCTGCAGGGGAGACTTGAAGGCTGCTGGAATTGTTTTATCAAAAAAATTTCTAGAGTGCTATAGGAAATGTACTGGCGTGCAAAAACGTTTCTAAAGATTAAAGTCAGTCTCCCTGAACAGTATGCATTGAAAGCTGACAGTTGCTGCGTTAAATACACATATTGAAGTTGTATGAACCAGTAACAGGAGGATTACGTTACCCGTCTTGGAGCAAGAAGTGGCAGGAAGTCTCATGTTAGCGGTAATGCATTTTGCATTAGCACATCATGATGGAAAATGTGGATTCCAGCCTTCAAAATGTTAATAAGCAGGATGCTAGAACACACAGAACACAGAACGTTAGGGATTGGAAGGGACCTCAAAAGCTCATCCAGTCCAATCCCCCTGCCGGAGCAGGAACACCCAGATGAGGTTGCACAGGAAGGCGTCCAGGTGAGTTTTGAATGTCTGCAGAGAAGGAGACTCCACAACCTCTCTGGGCAGCCTGGTCCAGTGCTCTGTCACCCTCACTGAGAAGAAGTTTCTTCTCCAATTTAAGTGGAACCTCCTGTGTTCCAGTTTGTGTCCGTTACCCCTTGTCCTATCATTGTTTGTCACCGAGAAGAGCCTGGCTCCATCCTCGTGACACTCACCCTTTATATATTTATAAACATTAATGAGGTCTCCCCTCAGTCTCCTCTTCTGCAAACTAAAGAGAAGTGTCTGCACATTAAGCAAACTATATTAAGTCAATGCAAGAAGAGTTTATGTTTGGTATATTTGCTTTCTGTTCTCTAATCCACCTGCATGTCATTGCATATGTATGTTTCAAAGACCCCTAAATAAAGTTGCTCAATGATTTTAATAATGTACTGGATTATTTTCTTCTTGTTTTAATGGCAGGAACATTCATGTGAAGGCAGTTTATATAAGGAACAAAACCATTTGCAAACAGAAACATCATTAAAGGAAAAGGTAGGTAAAATATGAGTGAAGGCAATATGGCTTTATTTCAGTTCAGAAAAGTATTGGTTGTTAGATGGACACTTAGTGCCAGGCTGCGTGCAGGAAACTTGCAATCAACCACACTCTTGATTGATTTACCAATGAATTTTTGAAGCTGGTTGGACACTGTAAGCTGCAGTAATGCCTTGACTTGAATTAACCTGATTTAGAGCTGCTGGGATTATGGCCTTGTTGTTTGTAGGTAAATAAAAGAATCCCTTTGAATTGGTATTTGATTCTTTCTTCTCCTTTTTTTTTTCTACAGAATCACTCTACACCCTTTATCAACAAGGATGGATGTCGTTTTTCTGAAGTTGGCTGCTCATTTAGGGTGAGTGAAACAGCTGCCTTCAGGAAGGTCTCGAATGGTATACAACTCAGCACTGTGCCTTTGGCCTAGGCAGCCTTTGTGTTCAAGGTAGTGGGCCTTGATTTAAATATATCTTTAAGGAAAGAGAGAGAGTCTACCCATTTTTAGCAGGCTGGCAGAGGTGATGTTGGAACTGCTGTGGTTACACAGTGTGTGTAATTTGCAGTTCAGCCAGTGATGCTCTGTGTCCTGCCCTGTGTGTGCACTTCAGGTAAAAATCAATGTTTATTACGATTTTGCTGGTTTATCACATATACTGTTCTACTGTGTTGTGGATATTCCCTTCAGGGTAACGCCTCTTAAAACAGTAATGGGTCTTCTGTGCATTTAAGTTTGCGTCTGTTGCCTTGTTTCATCTTTTGTTCACAGTATATGTATTAAATATTGGCTTATTTGAGAATCCTGCTGGCACTCTGGCATCCTGTTTAATACAGAAATTGCAGACAATTGTTTTCTTTTTATGTGTTTTGTGTACACTTGTGAACACAGAGCCTAAACTGATCATTGGAGGGGTTGTTGGCTTTCCTCTCTCCATATCTTCCCTGAGAGTCAACTGCTATGGAGCTGGACCCGTATCTTGCAGTTCTTCCATCTCTGTGTCTCCCAATAAGTTAAAGGAAACATTGCTTGATTTGGCCCTGGCCAGTTATGGTAGTTGCATGGAGAATGTATTGACAGTGTCGTCTTCTTACAGGGAAGCAAAGAGAAGATAAAGGAGCATGAAAGAACTGCAGTGGGGGCCCACATGCTGCTTCTGCTGCAACACATAAAGCAACTGAAGGCGAGCTTGTGCACTGCTGCTAAAGCTGCAAATGGTTTCATCCCACAGTCAGAGCTGAGTGTGAATGGTGCAGGGAAAAGCATCTCTGATCTGCACATCCCAGGGAGTCTGGAAATCAGCGGAGATGTGGAAATAGACTGTTTTCCTGGATCTTCCATGTCGGAAGATGAATCTGTTCTGCAACAACTTGTGAGGGAGAAAGTGGTTTCTGAGCTAGAAAATAAGCTTCATGTGTTTGAGAATATTGTGGCAGTGCTCAATAAAGAGGTGGAGACCTCTCACTTGGAAATCACAGCCTTTCGGAGGCAGAGTGAGCTTGATCAAAATATAATACGAGGCCTTGAACTGAAGGTAAATGGTTATGATAGGCATTGTCTGTTTGCTTGTTGTATAGATAACAAATATTTACATGTAATCAGAGAGATGTGGTGTAGAGATTGGACCGTGAGCAAGCAAGGCAGTTGTTTGACTGATCCTCTTAAAGCAACATGCCTGGAGGACCAAAAAACCATCAATCCGGCTGTTTGCCTTATGTGTTGATATGTAACTGTCACTTAAAAAGAAATCACAGGAGACCCTCCAGAACATGAGGTCTCCAGGATGATTCTGCTACTTCTGTAGCTCTGGAGAGCGAGGCTGACTGAGGACGGGTTGGTTTGTTCTAGATTGCAGAGTTGCACCGGTGCCTGTTGCAGAAGGATGCAGGCCTGAGCAGTCTTCACAAGAGTCTTCTGTTCTCTGAGCAAGCTTCCTATGATGGGGTCTTTCTGTGGAAAATAACAGATGTTGGCAGGAAGCTACAGGACTCTGTGACTGGAAGAACAGTCAGTTTGTATTCACCAGGTAAACCATGATGTATGCATAACCCAGTCCTTTAGAAAACCTGCTGATTTCTCTAGAATGCTGCTGCTTTCAGCTCATGTGGACAGGAGATCCTTTAAAATAGCTCTTCAAAACTAAGATGCTGTTTATATGAAGATGTCATGCTCTCCTGCCTGTAATTCAGGGCAGCTGTGATGTGCTTTTCCACAGTGTTTGGAATTGTGTTCTGTTCTGGGCTTTCATTTTGCAGCTCGCCCTTGGCCTCAGCCACTTGCCATGGTGCCAATGGTACTGAGTGGCTTTCCGTGGCAGTTACTTCCCATGTGAAAAGTAATTTAATTAGGTAAAATACACCTGTGTGGCTAACAGCAGGTAATTGTCACCAAGGCATGAGGCACCAAAAGGATCCCAACCATTGGATTTTCATTGCTTATAATCTCCAGGGTGTACTGATTTCTGTTTTCATCTCTGTGATAGCAAAACATGTCCTATCCTATCTTTTCCCGTATGCCAGAACACTCATGATGTCTTTTTTTTTTAATTTCAGCTTTCTACACTGCGAAGTATGGCTACAAGGTCTGTATGAGGGTTTATCTGAACGGGGATGGGACAGGAAAAGGAACACACATGTCCCTGTTCTTTGTGGTGATGAAAGGAGACTACGATGCTCTGCTCCCGTGGCCTTTCAGGCACAAGGTGAGAAGAGCCACCTTGTCACATCTGATCCTGGCATAACCCCACTACTTCTGGTGAACACGAGGGGATGTTTTCTCTTGAGTTTAGTGGAACTAAACTCTGAACGGAGTGAGTTACACACAGGGCAAGCTGCTCCTGCTGAGATTCCATACTGTGCCTTGTAGGATTTTCAAACAGCAGAGCACAGGTATTTGATATATCCCAACCAGGCTCCACCTGGGCTCAAGCCAGGGACACATTTTTCCCTGGCTCTTGCTCCACATAGATAATATCAATTTATGAGGGAATTACGATTTGCTGCCTGAAGCACAGGTGTTAGAAATGTGAGGCTGGACTTCTACTTACAAACGTGCCACGGATGTTGTATGTGTTCCTGATCTTATTTTTTCTCATTTTGTAAAGTGCAATCTGATAATGGCAACGATGCTTAGAAAAGCAGTGAAAGTGTGCACAAAATTCTGGTCTCTGTTTTAGCACTTGCCTTTGAGTGGTAATAATTCTGTAAGCCTTTCGTAGAAATTGCTTTACTGCCATTTAGTAGCCAAAAAAAAAATTAAATTTCCCGTTCCTCACTGTATGAAAAAATTATTACATGTGTTTCACATTTGAAACCAAAGAACAGTGATCTAATAACAGTGGTAATGAGATGGGGAGATTCTGTACTGATATTTAGGTTGCCTCTTTTACATATTTGTGTACAGGCAACCAAGCTGTTTCTTTTGATTCCAAACCACAATAACAGAATGAATGCAATGACTGTAACCAAACTGAGGTTTGTTTAAGTTGTCAGGAGAGAGAGGAAAAAAACCTTTGGACTGTGCAGTTTTCTACCAAGAAATCATTCTGTACTTTATTTAATTTAATTTTATTTTACGGGTGGCCAAGTTTGAAATCCTTCATCCGGGAACCATTACAAATCTCCCTTGCTCACATTAACTGACCTTGCAGGTTGTGAAATGTTCATTACAATTTGTGTTTGATTATCGATAGAGCATCCAGCTGCTTTTGCAGCACGTTTGCACTTCTGTCTCTGATATTTTATGGCTTATTTTTCAGTTCAATAACTCATCGTTGCCCCATTCTGTTTTTCAGGTTACATTTATGTTGCTTGACCAAAACAACAGGGAACACATTATTGATGCGTTTCGCCCAGACTTGACTTCCGCTTCATTTCAGAGACCGGTGAATGATATGAACGTTGCAAGTGGCTGTCCCATGTTCCTCCCTTTGGCCAAACTGCAGTCACCTAAATATGCCTATGTGAAAGAAGACACACTCTTCCTTAAATGCATTATAGAAACAAATTAGTAATTCTTGAAATTAGGTGTGGAGCGAGCTCCTGTTGGACTGCGCTGGCTGGCGACCCTAGTGTGGGATTTTGGCTGTTGCCCCACCAGGGACAAGGGCAGATTCCTTTCCCCAAGGCACCGATCAGGTGTCTCTGTTTGTGCTCATTGCTGACCTTGGAAACAGCACGTTGTGGATAGCATTTGTAGCTTGAGCTCCTTATACCAGATGATTTATTTCTTGCTATTTATTTTAGACCTCTATTTATGTGCTCTGTGAAGAAATGTTCTATTGCAGCAGCAATCGGTGACCAGATGACACTGTGCCTTGAGGAAATCACCTCTTGTGTTGCCAAAGGAGTTGTTTGACTTTCCCATTTCAGACACTCAGGCAGTGCTGAGGAGGACTCAGTAGCTTTGTTTTCATGTGTTCAGTCGCTTCCTGAACCTTCAAGGCAAATGACTTACTAGAAAGTATTGATCCTTTTCTCCTTGCTTAATTTATGTGCTCTGATGTTTAAGTCTTTTCACACGCTAAATTAGAAGTAACTATTAGACGTGGTTTTGTCTTTTTTTAAAATAGGCATAAGGAATGAATAATGCTTTTTTTATAACCAAGTCAAGCTTGGAAAGTCTAGATGTGTGCAACATTCAAATGTTACACCTTATCCCAAAAAGCAGCAAGCTTCGCCCTCATCATTCCCTGCTTAACCACTGTTTGGCAGAGTCAGTGGGGTTGTGCTGGGTTTTGGTGCTGCAGTTTCTGTACTGTGGTGTACAAACCCAAGCCCTGATCTTGCAGACAGAGGCAGGTGTGTATTTATGAGTGAAAGGCCTTTATGCAATCACTTTATTCATTTTTCCTTTGCTGTGTTTCCCATGTCTCAGTTGAAAACACAACAGACAATCTTAGGTCTGCTGCGTGAGAAGGGAGCGGGGAAACTGTTTGTCCACTTACATTGTGCAAACCATGGAAACAGCGGCCATGTAGCAGAGCTGGTGAGATGCCACGTGCTGTGCCTGACCTCCAGCCTGGCTGCAAATCTCTCATTTCTATCTGGACAGCATCCTTTAAAATAATTAGTTGTGATGAAGTATCACATTTCAGGCAAACCCGCCCCATAAACAAACATCCGTCAAAGCTTTTCTGGGAAAGAACTGGATATCCTTTGCCATCATGCAGATGCAGTCTCTCTGTCTGTCTTTTTCTCTCTTCTGTGTTGAAAATGTTCTTTCAGGGACAGAAAGTTATTTTTCCAGTAATGTGCCAGACCCTGTAACCACACTGGAGTAATACGCCTAAAAATAATGTGCTTTTCACGGCTGTGTAATTTTGACAAGTGCTGTATTTATTACAATCATTCATATTTTCTTACAATTTTATTTATTTCCTAAATAAAGCTCACTAACTTAAAAAAAAGGTTTGTGTGTTACTTTTGCTGTTAAATAGGGAACTGAGCGGCTTGACACGATGATGCCAGTGGTTTGCTGTAGGAACAGCTGAGCGGTGCTGCGACACTCACTCATTTCTGCTGTCATAGCACCGAGCAGGTTCACTCAGCACAGCGCCCGGCTGTGCTGACCCAGAAGCACCCAGCGTTGGACTTGATGATCCCGGTTGGACTTGATGCTCTTAGAGGTCTCTTCCAACCTTAAAGCTTCTGTGTGATTCTGTGTTGGTCCCGAGGAGCTGGTGTTCCCAACACCCAACTGGCTCCGGATGACGTGTTTCACCTGTGGTCCTGCAGGAGATTGGTGGAAACCTTGGGAATGAACCCTAAAGCATCTCTCGTGTCAGCGCCATAGCAATGGGGTCACCTTCTCTTTGCCTCTGGAGGTTGGTGTTTGTTTGGAAGACGTAGCACCCAATATACGGGGTTTTGACTTCCCAAAGGTCAGTTCCACCTGGTTGCCAGGGCAGTTGGACTTGCTCCATCCGTGCGTAATCTTTCCTTGCTCCTCACTGGCTGTGGGGCTGCTTTTCCACTGGGCATTTTTAATCAGCTGCTTCTATTATTGACTTCCCAGAGCAGCTTGGCTGCCTCTTTGCTCCACCATTACTTTTTTGTGCGAAATCCTTTTCCACAAAGAGCTGTTATGTCTTAAAAATAATTAGGAGGGTTTTCTCTGTGTGAGAGAGACAGAAAGTGGGGAAAATTAGTAAAAGTGTGTGTGGGTGAGAGCTGGGGAAAGAGAAAGTGTGGGAGAGAAGATGTGAAAATGTGTGTGAGAGAGAATATTTGTGTGTGTCTGCACCGAGGGAAGCAAAAATATATGTGTGTGCATATGTGCATGTGCAGGCTGAGATACATCCAACGGAGATGGTGACCTGATGCCTCTGTGCTTTTCTCCAGTGCGATTCCACCAGGGAAATGGCACTGATTTCCTTCAATCCCTGTGCACAAACAGGATTATTGGAAGCCCTTTCGTTCCAGTTTTCTGTGTATCCACGGATTCTCAATGGGGAAATCCCCGATGTAAACTGGGAGGAAAACTGCAAGGCTGCAGAGTCTGCAGGACCCTGTGCTCTCCATCCCGCAGCGATGCCTCTGACTGCTTTGCTGTGAAATCACCAGCAGAGCATCACGTGGAGCTGGATTTTGGGGTGAGTCAGGTCTGGATGGCAAATGTCTGCAAAGGGAGGAAATTCCTTGTTTCTGTGCTAGAAGAAATGGGGAGCAAAATCCCCCACGGCAAGCGAGGGGCTACCAGAGCCACCCATGGGGCTGTGATCTGGACCCAGGAGTGCTGGTGGCACTGGGGTCCCTGCTGCACAGTATTGCACGGCACAGACACAGCCCAAATTCTTCTTGAACACTGACAATTGCAGTGGCACTAACAGGCATTTGCTTATTGCAGGTTTGTAGCAGGGTAAGCAGAGCAAACAGCCCCAATAAACACAGATCTTCATGCTGCATTTCTCATTTTTCCCCAGGAACTAAACAGACTTTCCTTTATTTTCTTTTCTTTTTTTCTTTCTTTCTCTCTTTCTTTCTTTCTTTCTTCGAGCTGTCTTTTCTGAGCCATGCTGAGGACCTGCAGACGTGTGTACATAACATATCTGTGTCAAAATTATATAAGGGCTCCATTAATACGAACCTTGCACAGCTGCAAGAACACTCACAAGCTCCTCACGTCTTATGCAATTGCACAGAAGCACGCAAAGAAAGTTAAAAAAAAAAGATACGGATTAAATTCCTGCTAAATAAACACTAAAAAGACATGAAACCCAATGCTTAAATGTTCTTCCTTTTAAAGGTACAGCTGGCATCAACCAGCTGAATGTCAGATTGAACTGCTCTGACTCTAATTACAACCATACCTTTGTTGGACCATGCCCTTCGGTGGATTGCTTTTCTCCGAAAGGGCCTGAACACGAGCAAACCTCCCCCTGTGCCGCCGCAGCATTACCACTTCCATCAGGAATGCACCAAGCCAGGCGCTTTCCAAACACGGGGCTCTTCTCCGGGCTCTGGTGTTCCTGGAATCGGCTCCTGATTTTCATCTCCAAGCCACAAAATAGCCTTGATACAGAAACGGATGGCACTTACCTGGAAAGAAGCTGCAATCGGAGTGTTATCAAGAGTTCTCTAATACAGAAAACTGCTGCTGTTTTGCAAAGGAGCAGCCAAAGTGATTTTTTCTTTTTCTGATCTGAACGAAATCAAGTGATGCAGAAAAATCAAAGAGACTTTCAGTGAGTTAAATCAGGACCGGTTGCTCTGTGCTTAATGCCCGGGTTGGCAGAGCCATAGTGCATAGTAGCTGCCATGGCCTAAAATAATCAAGGGCAAGGTTTGTAAGGCAAGATAATATTTTTTTGAATTGACTAATACAGCTGAAAAAAAACAGACGAGCTTCTAGGCTTATAAACCCTTCTTCAGCATGGGAAAACTCCTTGCACACAGCTACTTTGAGCTTAACTCGGTTGTGGTAGTCAATCAGGTGGCTTCAGGGAAAAGCAGCTGAGACCTGTGGAGCATTGGCCAAGAGAGGGACAATTCTGTCAACAGCCTCAAGCTACGTTGGTTCTTGCTACTTTTACCGGCATGGATGTGTCCTGTTTTACCAGCTGGATCTCCAGATGTTACGGGAATTGTTTTGAACAGCATACGGGAGCCATGCTGGGTCCCTGCACGGCAGCCCCGCATCACTCCGGAGCGGCTGCAGCCAATGCGAGGGGTTTCTGCAGATACGATCTCCACGTCGGGGCCGCAGTTCATGGCAGCTTCGTGTTTGGGTTTCCATTCAATCTTTCTCGGCTTCGGTTTCCAAGACTACACGCCAACATCCAACCCCTCCTCCCCTCCTGTTTTCAACGAAAGAAAAACACGGTGAAAAGAAGCTCCCCGATTTCTGGGCAGTTTTCAAAGCAGAAAGAAAGGCAGCACTGGGAGCCACTCGCCCTGTGAGCAGCTCTGCTCCAGGGTGTAAGCAGGAAAGCGCCTTTCCCAGCTTCACAAGTGCAGAGTGCGGTGAAGTGAGGAAAAGCTTTTAAGAACAAAACACGGGTGTCAGAGTAGCTGGCTATGTGGGGCTTCATTCAGATGGCTTCGCAAACGCTGGTTTTGTTCGGAAATTCAATAGTGGGGAAGGAGCTGGTGTGATCGGCCCTGGGAACCCATGCTGGCCCCGCTCCCTGGCCAAGGAGGGTGGAGGATCCCTGGCCCTCGGCACTGTTGCTTGGAGTCTCATTCGTTTCTGACCGCTTGCTTGCAGAGTAAGACTGTGGGAAGAGCCAGGTGGGAGTGCAGAGGAGGAGGAAAAAGAGGAGGAGGAGGAAGAGAGGAGGGCAACACCAGGAGGAGCTGATCCTGAGCCATCTGGGGATGCTGTGGCAGGAGCACTCATGAAGAAACCAGAGTTAAGTGATTATGTGGCCTCATTCATGTTAGGAAATAGAGGATACATCTCACATTCCTTTTTCTTTTTCTTTGGAACTTTTGTTTCAGGGCAACATCACCGTGCTCTTCCCATTGGCAGGTGCTGGGTTTGGGGAGCCCTCTCCGCACGGGGGGGTTC